CCCCCCAAACAATGAGTTGTGACCATTAGAGCTTTCGACCAAGTTGATACTATGTACCTATTGACTGGATGGGAGGGCTGCGTTTGGCCGCCACGTGAGTCGGTGAAGTGTACAGTGCAGTAGAGTGTAAAGTGTTAAGTGCAAAGTCCAAAGTGCAAAGTGTAAAGTGCAGAGTGTGAAGTGCAAAGTGTAAAGTGCACGTGAATCAGTAAAGTGTACAGAGTCGGAGGGCTGGAAGGTTTAATATCGGTCTCCAGGTTAGTCAGGACCAAGTCCGGCTCAACTTGTCTCATTCAAATATTTGTAAAATAACCGCCCCCCGTTCTCTTTCTTCCTTTCTTCTTTTCTCGCGGGGTCGAATGGCTTTGTACGTCCCTACTTTCATTGCTTACAGCCCTCAAATAGTCATGCGCGGGGCTGTACGGCTCATATATAGTACTGGAGTGTAATTAGCTATTTTGCACAGATCACCTGATTCGTTTCCTTCTGTTGGAGGTGGTGATAAGGATGGGAAATTTCAAGTCGTGCCATTTTTGTTCAATCCATGACATGCCGCTCATTCTTGTCGTTCGCCCACTCTCCTTTCCCTCCCCTCCCCTCCCTTTCACTCTTACCCTTGTATATCATTTGACAGTTAGACACGGACAACTTACTACAGATGCGACAGCTTTTCCTACATTCCACGCGCATTATGTCTGGTCGACTTTCACAATATCCGCTTTTTACCCAGAGTTCACAAGCGTCATTTCTATCTACACATTCACCGTCAGGTTTTTCTGATGGTCTAACCTCAATTGCTAATAAATAAAGAGAAAAAATGAGTTATTAGATTCGGTTATTGTGATATCCAGAATAATCAAGGTCAAGGCTGGGGTTACGATAACCCTTACTGAGGCCTTGATTATTCTGGATATCACTAAAAACCGAATCTAATAACTGTTTTATTAGTAGTTTTTGCGTCTTCGCTGACGGCAAGCAACACAAAGCGAGCGCACTTAATATGATTACCCTTAAAATCATGCACTGCGGTCATACATGACATGATTATCCGTGACCTTTAGTGTTTTGTATAATCTGCAGCTTGATGACCTCCCAAGCGCTGATTTCGAAAATTCACTGTACGCTTTCGGCCAATCAGAAAAGAGAGAGTGAGTTGAATGTATCATAATACCCCTTATTTGTGGAACCTGTGTTAAGCGACCACCCTGCATATTTAGCTGTCACCCTGTCATTCCCCGTGGGTTACCGCTTAACACATGTTCGACTGTTGTTACCTTCATCACAGGCGTTACAGCTTAACCTGCAATGCGTGAGTTTGATGTCCTGCCGTGCCTCGCAGAAACCTTTCTGGGCCCAGTAAGGACAGGCTGTACTTGTATCTTTACAGTTTAGATCTTTCGTCGTCTTTTTCTTTTTCTCTGTCTCTGTTTAAATAAAACCGTTAATTACCTCAGTATTCAAATGTCATAATCATTATGCATCATGGACATCTTATAGAAATTATTTACTTGATTAGTCGTTATTTATATATTTTCAGTTGAAGACTACTCACTTCTCTCATTGCCGCTGTTATTTGCGATATTTATGGAGCTAAAAGTTGTCTTAGTTGGTATTGCAATGTTTACCTTCTTTTGAGCGGAGACTGGATCCTCTGATTGTTACCAATCCTCCTCCGCCAACGGCTCTTTTCGCTCGTCTAAAAGCTTCAAGACTTGAATTATTCAAAAGTCTTTGATTTTTAGCTAGGGAGGAGACAAAATGATGTCACTGAACAATTGACAGCGACAAACAGATCAACAGACACTACATACAAAACATGATGAAAAGATAGTCAATCTCCCTTTCGTTTGGCAAGCGTAATGGTATCTCTTCTACTTAAACGGGCCGCAATCCAAGAAATGTATACCAGTGTTTCAAACATGTAAGACAAACGTAACCACAGCGACTGATTGCTTGAATGATTGCTCAACATCTGATTTCGGTTTGAAGAGAGAGATAACTAAAAGAAAGTTGTCAAAGATTATGAAATGTTTTTAATTTTCCCTATGAATTCACCGTCAACGCGTTTTTCTCAGACCACAGTAATTGTGACCTCGCCCGGGAAGGGGCTTGTGTTACGCCGCGAAATGTAACAACTTTTGACGCAAAATGTAACAACTTTTTAACGCGAAATGTAACAACTTTTTGACGCAAAATGAAACAACATTTTTAACGCGAAATGTAACAAGCAAAATGTTACAGCCTTGAAATAACTGAGAGACTTGGACATGAGCCTTGTAAATAAAGTGTAAATTGTCGAAATTACATTTCGGGTTAATGTTACATTTTGCGTCAAAAGTTGTTACATTTCGCGTTAATGTTACATTTTGCGGCGTAACAGCTTGTACTCAGTTCACTTGGGGTTCGGGAGTCTAACCACTTCCGTCCTACAAATCTGTCTGCAATAACGCTGGCACGTTAAAATTAGATTCCGATTTGTTTTAGAGCTAAGAAAGTCTTACCATCACAATTGTACATCCTTTTAACCTGAATCGCGTCAATCTTTGATATCTTTCTATAGGGCCGGACTTTGTGTGCATCCTTCTTCAGGGGTATAATTGTTTTTCTTCTCCTTGATCGCGAAAAAGCGTTCAGTCGGTAGTGCATGATGCTGTTGTAATCATACGGCGTATCGAAAGAGTCCACAGCTTGCCACGTCTGTTTGAGGAATGCGTGTTCCCAGCCTGTGATCGAAGAAGAAGTAAATTGATTCTAAACAATCCTTTACGTCGGAATGCAGATACGAGCAGTGTCTCATAGGCAAAATGAGCCAGTTTCTCCAGTTTACTGCGTGAATCTGAACACCTTATTACCATCCAGCTCTTTCTAAAAGTTAGAGTAGTCATGACCGAGCTAATATCTAAAATTCTATGAAAAAGGGAAAACATAACCGAATTCATTTCATCTACCTCTGTTCACGTTTTTCCAAATTATCTTCACGTACTCGTCTCTGTCGGGTCTGCTCTGTTCGTGCCAAAATCCAATCACGTGACCAAGCTCATGTGCCATCACGTGATGGTACTCGCACCCGAATCCGACAGACACTTCCCGGCGTTCATTTCGAGCCTTGCCTACTGTGCTGTAACAACTGGATGCAGGTCGAGAGAGGGATGTAAAACGAAATCAAACATTAAAAGTCGAAAAGATGTGCGCATATCAAACAATAACTCGATTAAACGATTGCTAGAATTAAAACATGGTCACAAACACTTTGATCCAAAAAAACCATTTTTCTCACTGAGTTCCTCGAAAGAAATTGACGTAATCCTTCTCGTTGGTTCTTTCGATAAACTTGATGCAGGTTTTCGATTCCCAGTCATTCATAGCCAGTCGGATTATTCTTTGCAGTTCTGGCATGTTTTCTGCGTAGCAATAAAAATAGGACAATTAAAAAAATATATGTTATGATTTGATTTTTAAATGATCTCAAAGGTATACAATGCGGTATGCAAAACTGCTACCAGGTAAACATGGGTTTCAATAATTTTTGCCATGAGCTGCTGCCGATGGTGTAATAAGCGATTGTGACGCAAGGTAAAATCCAAATGCGATAGTTTGCTCGTAAGCTAAAATGGACGGCGTTGAGAGATTTCACAAGCGGCTGTAGACTTCTGGTAACTGGCGTTTAGAAACCCGTTGGTAAACAAGAAGGAAATCGCTTTCGTCTTTGTCTCGCACTGATCATCAATAGAAATAGCGGAGAAATGGCTGGAAATTTTCACGTTTACTAACTGACATTTAGAGAAATTTAGTTCCTTACATGAATTCGTCAACTTGATACTAAGCTGCATGCAAAACTCAAATAATAAAACAACAGCTAACAGTAGCGTGGAGGATAAATTACATGAAAATCATGTTAACTTGTTAGTAATTTCATGTAACTTGGTTTTAACTTCTAAGAGAATTTGCAAGAAGTAAATGACAATCCTCGACTTCCAACATTTAGACTTTTGAGTTGAGCTTTGAAAAGCAGTGACGCTTTGAGCTACGAATTTGATCTCTTTTATTGGCGCGCATTGAACACACAGCAATCCATTGCAGAGGACTTCTTTGCCTAGAAATTTCAGCCTTGACTTTGCAAACACTAAATCTGCAGCTTTATATAAGAGAAGTTTCTTAGGAAGAAGTTTCTTAGGAGGCTGAGAAAAATCAAATTCGACTGATTGCTTCCATTAATGCCAGTAATGCCCTACCACTGGGCAATCGCGCTCAGCAATGGAGTGATACTATCTACAAAAGTGAGCCGCTCGAGAGAACATCAGATGTTCAGATGTACTCCGTAGCTCAAAAACGTCCTTGTTGATGCGGTTCTGTAATTTCTGAATCACTTACGCAAGCTGCAGTCAAACTCATACGGTATAACTCCATTATCCCACAGCAAGGTTTTCTCTCGTGTGGCAGCTGGGGGTTTTCGTGGAAAACCGAATTTATCCTTCGCACCTTCAGGCACATCAAGTAGAACTTTTTGATGATCTGTAAGTTTAATGTCGCCAAACAACCAGAAATCCGGCATGCTCCTTGGACTGGAGTTCTCTTCTGTCAAGAAATGCAATAACAATGAACTTAAGTCACAGCCAAGGGAGGGGATCCTGGGGGGGGGGTATGTTCCTTCCATCTCGAAGCAAAGAAAAAAAAATAACTTCATCAATAAAGGACCCCCGGCCCCACACCCTGAAAGTGTGGAACTCCTCTGAACTCTCAGTTTGTGCTTATCCACCAGTTCTCCAAACCTGACTCTGTTTCATACAAAACCATATCATTCTCCACAACCGTTTTCAGCCGATCTGGCCTCTGAAAAGTGTACTTGGGTTGCAAATCCATCAGGTTTTTTCACTTCAGTTTTGAAAAAAGAATGACAAAATTTGCTTGAAAATTCGCTCGAATGTTCTTTGTTGTTGTTGTTGTTGTTGCATTAAGACACAAATACTTTTCTTCCCTCCTGTGATTCCCTTGAAAATCAATATCGACTCAAAACCATTATGGTCTAAATATAGATCTGTTTACCAACCAGCGGCTCAATAACCCAATCCCTATTCGCTGTCTACTTTCGCTAACGCTATCCCCTGGGGTTATTCCCAGTAGTCTCATTTCATCTTTTGTAATGATATGTAAGTTAGTTAGGGAACAGTACAAAGATTACTATTCTTGTGATCTTATGAGGCTACTCAAAGTTCGCATAGGAGAAAACTCCCCTCTTCACTTCCCGTGCCTCGATTGAAAGTTAAAGCAACGAGAAGACTTATGCGCTACTGTAAGCTTGCAACCCCGAAATCCTGACTGAGCCGTCAGCTAACACCGAGATACTCCTGGCCTGCAGTTTGCAGAGTGTGACGTTTTTTCTTTACTCCAAGAGATGAAGGAAGTTTTACTCAAAGTGGGGTCGGCATCGGTCATCAGTCGGATTCTAGACTCTCTTGTTTCTCTCTCAAAAAGACAAACGTGTTTGAAGCAAGAGTTTTGTACGGAAAAAATAATGAACATTCAAGTGTCCCAGTGCCGTGACTGTTTACATTATGTTTTGTACCGCACTGACACGGGTAAATTTCAAAATTGTCAATCAACTAATGTAGCTACAAAAATCTTTGTCATGCAGCCTCGATTTAGGTGACATAGCTTAGCTGCTTCGTTGAAATTGTTTTCCACATCGTATTTGTTTCATTTCTCTGAAACGAACACTGCCCTGACCCCAAAATTTCGTAGTTACAAGATCTCTAGAAATGTCTGCCTCAAAACACTGTAAAATTTTCATAGCGGATTACTCTTTAATCCCGACTAATACAACTCCATAAAATTACCTTCATTGTCATTGTCACTCGGCAGTTCAGCATTTGACAACAACATTGTAGTCATCAAGAGAATCCACGAGATCTGAAGCCACATTTTGCTCTAAACAAAGAAACCAGTTACATGTCATCAATAAAATGTAAGTTATGTAATTTCTAAACAATGTATTGAGTTGCTTCAATCTTTCGTCGACTTAATTAAGATAACACGAGACTTCTCGAGTCTAACCAAAATTGTAATAACTTTATGCATACCTTGTGATTTAAAAATATATTCAAATTGGCCTTTTATCAGGAATTCGACTGGAAAGATCTTTTACTACGATAACATGACCCCCTTCACAGCTGTTCCAAATTGTCTTAAGTATTTAAAAATGCAAACTTTTACACCTTTGAAAAGGCGTGATGCCTGATATCTAAGAATGAGAAACAAAACTTGATCGGAAAGGGCGGATGTGTGAATAAAAGATGTCTTTGAATAACTTATTTAAGCTTTTGGAGAGATGATCGTTCTTGAAATAGTTACCAAAGACTGCCAACCATACCTATGCATTTAAACTTCCGTTCACCGAAGTCACGTTTCAGGGTGGCTGAACAATAAATAACAAGACAAACGTTTTGCAGTTCCAGAGAAAAAAAGCCATTGGATTCGATTGCCTTACTTTAGAAGCGCTAAGGGAATAATCTAGTATCATACATTCTAAAAAGCTCGCAGCTTTTTTTTTATTTTGGTTGTTCTTATTTCTTTTTGCGTCCTTGTTTTGTTTTTCTACAAGTCAGCAGTTGTTGAGTAGGGATCGCAAAGATTTATAATTGACTTCAGTGCGAGCAAACTGAAATAAATCATTGTTATCGAGGTTTTGTCTGCAACTCTTATCATCCACAACTTGCCAACAATGGCGCATGAAACAAACCCTGAACTTTGAACTATCCCCTAATAATCAGTCATTTTCATAAACACCAGACGATTTTAAAACAGCACGTAAGGCCTCTCGAAAATTGATGTTAATCCGTCAACGTGGTAAATGGCAGTATTCAAATCTCTTTAATGGTTTTTAAATAAATCACGAGTAATTAATTAATGAACCATCAGTGAATTCTATAACAGGTTTTTTTAAAAAACATCATTGTTGCAGGTGAACAAAGCCATTAATGTGTTTGACAATTTATCAGTAGAAAGCAGGATCTCATTAATAGAGTGTAATAGGCTTCCGCAGAAAGCGCTCTCAGTGAAAAGAAAATGGACAATTTTTTTAACATGTCACTTCAAGTACCGCTTCCTTTCAACATAATTAGTTGAAACCCAAAACTTGACTTCATTTCTCCGACTTAGATGCCCTTGTGATAAAAAATTCCCTTTCATTTTTGTCTCAAGTGCTCAGGGCAATTTAACAAAGAGAACTTGAATCTTAAAACCTTCGGATTTCGCAATGCAGTGGTGAATCTTTTAAATACACAGAAATCATTGGTGAGCTCATTCACATACATTCGAACCTGAATTAAGCGGTCACCCTGTATTTAGCGGTCAGTTGTCAAAGTCCCCAATTTGTTTCCCATTTATCACTGTAATTTTTACGTCAAGTAACTTTTATTTTATGTTTTCCTCCCAAAATCAAAGTAAGTTGTATATTCGAGCGAGATTCTGTACATGAAATGGTCAATTATGGCATAAGGAGGAGTTGTTCAACGTTTTTTACAATGCCCCTAATCTGTGGAATCTGTATTAAGTGGTCATTCATTCCCTGTAGGTGACCGCTTAATACAGGTTCGACTGTTATAGTTTACAACTGACGAGCGTTTTACGAGGCTAAGATCAGTGGTGTTTTCAGTCGATAACCGAGCACATAATGTACCCCTTTTTCTTCCTTATCTATTTTCGACATTGCTGATCTTTGTAGTATACGGGGCGATTGTCACCTCGGAACTTACCATGTGACCATGTAAGTGAAAAACGATTTAATTTTTCCATGCCACTGAGCCTTAAACTTCTAATTTTTTTTCTACATTTATCTAAACGGCATCCACCTCTATAAGAAAAGCTCAAATGAAGGGCAAGAGGAGGTTGAAGTATTTTTTTATCTTTTGTTCCTCTTAATTTGCAAAGAACTGAAATCACAACCTCACCAACATAAGCGCCATGTTTGTATATGTATTTATCCATACGAGTAAATGCTGTGTATGTCCAATATCCTACCCGACCTTCATTGTCGTTGAAGACGTTTACCGTACTTTAGAATGTCTGAAAGAAACTCGATACCTAGAACCTAGTATTAGCTGAAAGATTTCAAGATACCACGTGTTCTCATTCTATTTGTAGCATCGAGGTTCTGTATGTTTATAAAAGTGCTGACGTAAAATACGTTTCAATCACATAAGCGCCGGTTAGAAAGCGAACTATCCTCGAATAAAACTTGATGTTCATAAATAAATTGCACAACGAAACGGCAGAGGCGAGAATTTATTCGCCTGACAAAAGCCAATTCCCAGTTATATAAGTTGCAGGAAAGTTGTAAACTGATTTTAGCAAAAAAAAAACCGTTGTATAGATATCGCATTTTTTTAAAAGAATGTTAAGAAGATTATTGAACTCCTTGCCGGATACTTTCTTGTTCAGCTGCGGAGAAAACCAACCCTAACAAGATCTAATTAGAACAGCATCTGTTACCTTCATTGAATTGTTATGAAATTTAAACCAAAGACTCGGAGATAACTGTAACAGTAAAGCAAAGCGTTCGAGCATCGATCGAGCATCGATCGAGCATGTCTTACTTTGCCGTTTGACTCGACTCGAAAGATGGCGATAAAATGATAAATCACTCCTTAATGATTCAGTGAGTCAGTCAGGATCGAGTGAAGTTGCTAATTACGAGAGTGGAATGCATTGCGTCTAGAATGGTCGATCGGTTTTGTGAGATGAATGGAAAACGCCCTTGTAGCTGCAGTCAGATAAATTCACAAATGGTGCCATGATTAATTGAACTAAAAAGTCGAAAGGGTGAAGAAACTATGCAATCCACGCTCACTATGAACAGAATAATCTATTAGTGATTTTCAAACGAACCTCTTCAAGTCCTTCTGCCTTCGCACAATCGCAAGTGACCTCACGTACAAGATTAGTTTGGTTCAGTTAACAAAGCAGTTATGTCATCAGAACTCAAACTTAACCAATCGTGCTCACCATTAAAATGTCGACAGTTTTTTTAAGAATGATTCATAGGTTTTTTTCTAATAGTCTTGTTCCTTCATGGGGCATTCCACTCATAAAGTACTAACTGAGGCAAATCTGTCTCTCTAGGAGGTTTCGACTGAAGGGGCCTTAATTCAATCAAGAACACAATTCCATTCTATTCTCTTCTATTAAGAACGAAGACTATTTCACAATCTTATTTTGGGACAAGTAGGTGCTAAATTTTTTCCTAAATGAGTAACTAGCTTAGGCGGTGGTTTTGTACGAAATGTGCATAAATTTAATTGCTTAAGGTGGCTGGATATAGTCTTTTTTTAGCTTAGCTGACTGGCTATATTCAGAGTGCTTAAAACACCAACTCCAAGATTTTCACACGTGCGTTGACCCCAGGATGGAAATTTAAAACTATGGGCCGGGGATGGCAATCGTTAATGTTGTGATAATTTTATGGGGAAATCCTGGCTAACAGTTCTTAGGACGGTCTGAAAAACCTTTGATAGATTTTTTTTCGAACTTCGGGATTTTGATATTCAGCGTAAGGCCTCACTGTTGAAACTGGTTGAAATTCACTCGGCAGTGAGGCCCCACCCTAAAGGTGAAATTTAATTCTGTAGTTCAACCCCTAAGAAGTAAACACAAATCACGAAAGTTGGAATTCGAACCCAAAAACATTCGGATTTTGCAGTGCAATGGTGAACCGTTAAGCTCCACAGAAATCTTTCGTGAGGTCAGTCATATTCTCTCATAGCTCAATTAGAATGGGACTACAGTGTGTCCGAAACTCACACCAAATCCACGCTCTTGGTACGTCTAAACTCATTTGGCAGATAAAACGCAGTTGACCTTCGTCAGTCGTTTCCGCTCATTATCCTTAGATTTAAACTTTTACCTTTTGCTTTTAGGAATTACCTGCTTTTAAAATCACCCAAGGAAACTTTAAGTCATCCAGGCCTATCAATAATTACCCTTGAACAGCGCAGATTGAAAAGGCAAATCGATAAATCCATGAAATCCTTTCTTGAGAGGCAGGAAAAAAATGGAGTTAGATTTCTAAGGTTTCAAGTTGATATCTTTACAAAGAAAACACTGCGGATCATACGTACATTTTAAAGCGGATGAACAACATTCAACTTACACAAACAGTGTTTCAAAAACAGATCAATGAAACTGAACAGCCTTTTGGTGGACAATCTCTAGGCTTCATCTTTGGAAGCGTTTTCAATGGCAGCCTCGCTTTCCGTCTGGATAAACAGTACTCTTTTGTAAAGTGGGCTACTGACATACGCTGTGTTGTGCAATTGATGTAAGTACATCCAAGAGATTATCCTCGGAATAGCATCAAACACGTAACAAAGAGGCAGATTTCTTGGCAATCAGGCGACGACTGCGATTAAGACCTGTTCAAACTTCCCTTTAAGAAGTTTTAAGCCAGTACTGATTATCTCATTGCGATATCAAGAATTTCTCATGGTAACGCAAAGTTAGAAAATGTCCAAAATCAATGCAAAGTAGGGAAAGGAACAATTTTAAATTGCAAATCGCCACAAGAATTAAAAATAAATCCAGTGCCGTTGCTTCGAATGCCCAATACGAGCAAATAATAAGATTCCTCACCATCCCCTCCCTAAGGAGATGGTTTAGGTGTGTGAAGATGATCAAACATGGCATTTTTATATGACCATTAGCTTTTGTTCTTGAGGAGAACTCAAGGCGTCAGAGTAACGTGATAACAGCATAGTTGTGGTTTGACCTACTTTTAATCATTTATGCCCAGCGGTCTGATAAGTTTATCATCTTATTTATTACTGCCTTAACGATAATACTTATTTAAGAAATTACACATAAAAGCTTTATCATGTCAAAAACCAAATATGCGAATGAGTTGTGATAGAGGAACGGTTGTTGATAATAAATAA